AGTGTTTGGAGAAATATATAAATAAATCATTTATATACAATATTGAGGTATTATTTTATTCGGGATAACTGCATTTATCTCCAATGTGAGAGAAGTTTTCTTGTTGGCGATTATGTAAATTTCATTTCAAAAAATTGTCATTGAGATTATATTTTTTTATATATTCACTATTTTCTGTTAATAACATTTTGTATTTGACACTATAAGTCAGAGACTCTAATGTAAACATTCGACTACAACGCCTGGAACCGATCCTGATTTTGACATCATTTATTGTTCCTTTAGTAATAACCGTAAAGCTGTAATGTTAGGGAGGAGAAGAACAAGATCCAAATCTGTAATATCGCACGTTACAATAATTTGGTTACCTCCCACCAACTCTTCGTGATTTCTTTCACTCACGCAAAAACATTCCCGAACATTAATGAGATATTCTGTATGGTACTAGAGAAACGAGAGGACATTATTATTTGTTCTTGTATTCATTTAGTCCGATCACTTGTGTTATCTAAATCTATCTATCTAAATGACATATTTTTAAATTATTTTCTCTTTGTAATTTTACGTTACTTTAAAATATTAAGCTGATACAAATTAAGAAGTCCTGAAAAGAAAAGTGAAGTGATTTATATGACAAATAAAAATGCGGAAAGGAAAGGAAATGCGGTAACAAAAATACAAAGGTGAAAGATTCCTATGGTTATGGACAAAATGTCAGTTTTGACCATAGTCCTTATAAACTACTGGACTCGCCCAGCTGTCATTTCGCCTATATAAATGGCAATCGCTCAGACGTGTGCGAGAGAGATGGAGCTAGTAATGGGCTTAAGCTTCGTTCACAGAATTTCAACTGTAGCGCGCTACATTTAATTCAACCAATCAGCTAGCTACACTCGATTCCTTACCCCTTTATTCTGTTGGGCCGTATTCAAAGATTTTATAAAAATAATATAGAGACCAAAAGACAAACAAAAATCATTTTTTCCAGTAGTGTAGGTATGTAAAAGGGTTTATTATATTACTGGCCTAATTACTTAATTTTCTTGCTTTGCAGAACATATTATTTGAAGAGAATTTTTGCTAAGCACATTTCAGTTAAAACTTTTTCGTTATATTCGGTTTGATGTTAAAAAATAATTTGAGGACTAACACATTTAAAGCGACAAAATTTGGACGTTAAAATGACATTTTATTTTGAGGAAGGGGGGGAAATAATATAATCTAATAAGTTATCATCGGAGACAACTCTACTTGGTCATTATTTTCAGAAAGATGCGGAAAGTATAAACATGTTGGTACCATCATAACTTCTTTCCTACCTATGACATTTAATTTTTTCTTAAACGTCTCTTACGCAATTTATCGCAGAACACGATTGCACCATATTTAGTTTTTACGAATCTTTCACATAAACTAACTAAATCACACAAAAATCAAGAAATCAATCAATAATGTCAATATATTACATTTACTTCGAAGTTTGTTTACGGCATTTTGTACAGGTATACCCGTGTACCATCATTTGTTTTACCGGTATTTGCCTCAACTAGCTTCATCTGCCTTGCACACATCAGCGCGATTGACCTCTCTTTCTAGGGCCAGTCCATGGTTTACTAGGTCTATGGTTTTGACGGAGTTTAAGGTTATCTAACCATTCAAAAAAATATTTTGCAGATTCACTTAAAGGAAGATCTTCAGACTCCGTGTCTATCGTTTCTGATCCAGACTTTTTTTTATAAAAATTATTTCTAAATTTTATTTTTTTTAAGTATCTATGTAATAATATACTAGTTTTATTTTTAAATCCCTTCGTATCCTAAAATCCAAGTCACATTTTTTCTTAATTTTTCCAGTTTTTCCAGTTTTCCTGGGGAAAAGAACAATTCTTTCCAACCTACAATTTCCCGGAATTCTGCTAACGCCTAAAGAATGTCATTCCGATCATTCTCAGTATCTCAAAGGTATAAGTAACATTGAGAACTAGAACTGTAGAAAAAAGAACTAATGAGCTAGAATTACCTCCAAATTCTACAGGTGATCTATTACATGGTAAACTAAGCTGCTTTAGGTATACTAACGAAACAATTCCATTAACAAGGTAGCAAATAACCACATCTAAATTGTACTAATAAAACCTGTCTTATTCAAATCTTTAAATAATCTAAACATTTCATCTTCGACGTAGATGAACATGAAATTTAGCAACGATACATTAATAAACTAATATATTTTCTCCAAAATTTTACATTGCATATTATTATTTAATAAAAAGAGGCCTCTCACAAAACATTCCTTAAATTGCCAAAATGTGTTAATTACACCATCCTGGCTAAATTTCGTTTGATGTGAATTTAAGAATATTTATAGATTTGAAAATAACTAAAGCAATACAATTTTCTTCAAAATTAGTTGTTTTAAATTGATATGCAATTGTTTTTCTTCCATATATTTCAAATCTGCAGGACCTTCTGCATATGATTTTTTTTGTCAATGACTTGAAATGGTAAATTATGTATAACTTACCGGACTCATATTCCTATATTCTTTTAATTACTGGGATACTTCAATTATGTAGTTTTACAATATTGTCCAGATACATCCTATATAAGTAAGAGCAATTTAAATATTCACCTACAATTTCATAAATAACTGCGTATTCCTGGATACCACCAATACAAAAAGGAAATACCTACGTAGTATAATTTTACAACGAAGACTAGTAAAATAGTAAACGTCAAGGACGAAACTCAATTTATGAATTAAAAAAAAATGTATGAAGATTTCATCCATTCATTTGCTCCATCAGTTAAGAAAAATAATATAAATTTCCAGAAATTTTTTGTATTCATTAACATTCAATTCAACAAATAAAAACATTTTTTATTCATTTGTGTTTACCCAGTAGGAATACTGGGTATAATATTGCCGATTTACTTTTTAGAAAATTACCGCCTAAAACGTAGTACAAATTGCCAATTTGCTTTTTAGCGATAAGTCACTCAGATTCTTAGAAAAGTAACATATATACGCAAATACAAATACAATAGATGTGCCTATACCTTGAAGTAAAGTTGTTCCATTCGGTGAATGCAAGTGGGAAAATCCACCGAAGTTCCGTGGTCATAGTTTGTGAAATACAAATATACCGGCTCAATAACAGTCAATAGAAGTAAGAAATCGAAGAATGAGTGTAAACTTTAAAGTAGTAAATATTATTAAATCCAACGCCCAAATGTAAACGTTAAAAGTGTAAACATACCGTCTGTCATTAATTCCTTTAGAGTGTCGATATTCTTTAAAATTAAAAAAAAAATCAAATTTTTTAACATATACGTAGGTACACCGACAAACTCGATCGTAGTTATTGTTTCCCGCAATATCATCAATTAAAAAGTTTTTTTCGCCTAGTGCAACACTAGTCATTCCTTTCTAGTTACTACAGATTAGTAGGTTGCTTTTTGCCAGTAGATTCAGAACTTATCCGAAAAATAATTTTTTAATGTACAGGGGATTCTTATAAATACAGTTTTGTAAAGAAAATCGAAAAATTCGAAAATTATTTAAAAATACACTTCTGCACGGCACTGGAAACCAGTCCACTGTAAAACCTGATCTGCACAAGGCAAAACATGCAGTCGTACATGAACAACAGCAAAATGTAATAAAAAATGAACGGACAAACAATTGAAAGAATTTATAATTATAATAAATAAAATTTTATAATACATATTTGATATCAGCAAATTCAACTGCTTTTGCCGCTATTGTTATTATTAATGAATAAAATCAATTTGTGGTTTGAATTAATAAAATAATTTGACATGCTACAATTGTTAAAAATTTTGTCCATCGACGTGTAAACACATTTGGGCCCGTCGGCGTCGTACCCAGTTTCTACGAACTAACACAAATGTTGTCTTGCTGCACCCTAATACAAATACTTCACCATAACACAAATGTTGTCTTGCTTCACCATAACACAAATACTTCACTATAACACAAATGTTATCTTGCTTCACCATAAATTAAAACGATATCCATCAACTCCTAGTTGTTATACACGTAAGAGAGATAGAGCGAATTGCGTATAGCGCACAACTCGAATGACGCTAAAGACTACAGTAGCCCAGCTATGTAAGGGTTTTAAATACTACAACTTCAATATTTTTTTTCTCAGAAACTATAAGGATTTTACAATTTTTTTTTACGATTTTGACTCCGTTTTTCATGACGCATGTATTCTCAAATTCTTTCGTGAATCACCGAAGTTTATGCCTGAAGGTATTGAGTAGCATTGACAATTATGATATGATATACCCACACTAAAGGCATGACGCAATTAACTTAATATCATTATTCAATCAGTTTTGCAATGATGCTATGTCTTGGCAAAGCCTTTATTGCTTCATTTGGTTATAAGTAGATAAGGACATTTTTCCCATGTACTTCAGCTTGGAATCAGTTGTATTGCTTCCCAAAAAGACAAATATTATGAGTCAACTGAATAGACCACATGTTATTGCTCCAGTTATATTACCATTTTTGGATTTGTCAGTGTTCTACTCTAGTGCCCAGCTTAATAGGTTACTATTCCAGTTTAAGTATTCAGGCTTTTTGAAGTTTTGCTGCAGTCATTATTTCAAAGAGTCGATTGATTTTTCGACATTCAGTTTTTTCATGAATATCTCTGATATAAGTTAATCATCTTTTATTATTCTTACATTAGGATTGGTTATGTATCTGATTCATTTTACCTTTAAAAAATGAGTTCAAATAATAAAAGCTATAGAAGAAAGAGTAGAACTTAATCCGATTCTGTACTCTAAATTTTTTAAACAGATTGTTGTTTTAAGATCAGGGATTTGTACACAACACCACAATGGAGTATACCTCACAACAAGAAGTTATAAATCAATATGGGAATTAAAATCGCTCCTTCTCATTTTCTTACTTCTCTGGATTCATCGTATTCCACGAGTACATATCAGCGTACCTCTTCTACTCATGAACGGCTACAGCTTATGCGAGACATGTTTGTTTTGGTTCGTCGTTGCCTCCATATAAACCTGTTTGATTTACACTTAGTTTAGTTAGTAGTAGACGATAATTTGTGGTGTTGTGGTAAATGCTGGCTATCGCAAGACTTTTTCCGCATTAAGTGATAAGTGTTCGGCTGGAATAACTTTTATTTAGGTAAATAATATTTACTATTTTTCATAAATATAAAAAAGTTCAGTCCTAGAACCTTGTAACACTTTCTTGATTATCAGATTCTTGTAGCCGTTCACTAAACCGCGGCTGCAACAAAGTGAATCCGAAATAAAATAAACCTATTCAGGATTATCTAACTGTTTAGTAGTATTTATTCATAATACATATTCATTGAGGACGGTATGTTTGAAACTAACATTCTTATTTTATAACAATTTAACTTATTTCTGTTATTAGTCATTCAGTAACTAACTGTTTATTGACTGGAATTTAAAAACTAAATTGAAAATTCGGAAAGCTACAATATCATCTACAAGATTTAGTGTATAATAAGTATTTTAATGATGATATTACGATTTATAATCTACGATATGGATATATGGTATGCTCAAAGGAACTGGAAATTTAAAATGAAAAAAATCCTCCAATATTCAGCTAAATATATTCAGGGCTCACGTTTTTCGTGCTCCACCATTTGGGTCTCGGTTAAAAAATGCAAGGTTAGTCAAATTAGGACAAAACTTCGATGAATTGACAAGAATTGATGACCAATTTTTTTTTGTTTTGAAGTTATCGAGTAGGATTTTGATTTTCCTGTTTACTTATTATTTTTTTTATCGTATTACTAATTTTCTATATACACGCGACTTTAATTTTTAATTTTTTTTTCATATTGGACTGGTTGTGATAATGTATCATATTTTCTTTTGTTCCCAACGCCCACCTATTACCTACTTTTAAAAAATTTTAAGTTGGGTTAAAGAACAGAAACAGGCAATTTTGGGCCGTCAAAGGAAAAGTATTAAACCATTATTTTATTCTAAATACGAATATGCTATTTATTTTTCCCGAAAAGACAGGAACATGGTCAAAACAACCCCTGTATGGAGGTAAAAAGAGATTTTATAATTACACAGATTAAGAATTATTTATGAACCAGTTTGTAAAATATAATATATTTTTTGTTAAACAACTCAAATCAAACGGTACAAAGAATACTATTCTAAACCACCTTCCTCATCTTATCCCCTTCACCCTCTTATGGGGGTGAAAACGACTAGACAGAAATTCCAATTTCTTTAAAAAAAAATCTTTAGTGGTAATGGTAGGTAGCAGTTCAAATGAGGAAAAGGTATTTGACTTGCCTAATGTTACCCTGTCACACCCTCATCCCCTATGGAGGTAAAAGCTACTTAACTGTTTCAAAGCCTGATTGTTTTTGTATTTGCTGCATATTTTTGAATAGATTGCAACGAAACTAAATCCGAGAGCAAACGTAATACACTCATTTCTTTAAATGATAGAAGTAAAAGAGATAAAAAAGAGTAAAATAGGGATAAAATCTCCAGGGGGTTGGATAGGGTTAAAGAACATCGAAATTTTAATTTTGTCAATAATATTAATAATTATTGATAATACAAATATTAGTACTAATATTTGTATTATCAATAATATTAATAATTATTTTGGAATTAGTTTCTAATTTTCATCCTGTATATACACAATTCTATCTTGATATTATATGTTTGTACAATCAAGTATATAGAAATACGTTTTTTATAGATACCTACATATTTTATATGAACAAATAACTTACTCAAACTTGATGTGTTCTATTTGTTATTTTAATTACTTCGATTTTTTTCTCATTGACAAAAATATCACATAAATTTTTGATGAGGTTGTCGAATAGAATTTAAGCTTTCGTGAAGGTCTAACGCGATGTTAAAAAGCGATAAATAAAAACCAAATTAAAAAAAAAGGATGTATTTGTTTCTTAATAACGCTTTGACAATCCCGTGTTCTGTGTGTATTACCAAATAGAAGTCAAATAAAATTATATATAGCATCGGTTAATAAAAACTTTCCTGTTACGTGAAGCTATGCGAAAGAAAGGGAAAATACAAGGGAAAACCAAATTGTTTTGTATTCCAATCGACTTATTGTTTTTTTAATGTTTCATATTCATGGAATGAGACATAGATTACTTAAGTTGACAGCCTCAGCCTAAGTGAATAGGGTTCTTATACTTACATACACATTACAACTTTTCTGTTTCAAATGAAAATTCTTTAAAAAATTAATACTGCAATTTCAACCTGATGACTGAAGTTTGTTATCCGATAAATTTTATTCTAAGAAATTGACAAATTTATACTATAAAAATTCAATTTCCTAAAAAGAAAATTAGATATATAAATTGAATAGAGGAAGAAGTATAAATTATATGTTCATAAACGGTGTTGATAATGATTTTGATAGAGATGCTGATTACATCTAAATCGAGGGCGAAACCGTTAGTCAAAATTTGTACCCTAAATACTCTCTTCCATATTTACCTACGCAAATATTACTCAAGAATTATTTCTTAAGTATTTACTGAGTATTACTCAAATATTCAATCTTATACTCTAAATTACTCCTGCGGCTCCCTCTTAATATCAACAAATAAATATCACAATTTTATAACATCGAAATGAGAGTATAATTTCAGTAGACCCCTATACGAGCGTAAAATTTTAATACAAGAACCGAGACAAGAACTAAATATTATATGGGCACAACTTTCGGTAAACAAATGCATATCACTTCCTTGTTTATAAGAGTCTAGGTCATTTAACTACCATTAAATATAAGATTACTATATTGGTGTAATAATAACTGATGGTGTTGTTATAAAATGAAAATGGGACCAGTGTTGTTTTAATTGTTTCCAAGAGATATGCACAAAATCACGTATGTACAGTAGGTACATACAGAAAATAAAAATAACATCGAAATACTTACGTAGGTACTCCCACAATCACGGTGGCTATAAGATTTTGTGGTTATTGAATGGATATTTACATAAAAAAGGATAAATATGTCCATATATTAACTAATAAGTTACAATGTAAAAAAATCGGTGTGAGTGAAAGTAATAAAGGTTCGGAGTGGATCCATTGAGTGAAATTATTGAGTACATTTTGATCATCTTACTCATTTGTGATTATATTTAAACTAAAACTTAGTACACTCACTCAAATATAGGTATTTACTCCTTAAATAAATTCTTCACGTAAACTCGCATTTGGTGCACTTATACCTAAATCAGAGTAAATGTCCTCATTACTCAGTTTAAATGTATATTAATTTCGAGTAATTTGAATGGCGCCGTGAAGATGCTTCAGAAAAGCGGCGGCGGCGAATCTCAGCTCAACTGGCGCCGCTGGCGGATTTCAGCTCGCGGGTCTCAGCTGGCGGGTCTCAGCCAGGACAGGAGGAGGGAGGCCCCGCGAAGTGTATTAATTTCAACACTGTATATCCTAATTAACAATTTATGAGTGATATATTTTTGCACTCAATATTTATTTAATTAAAAACCAAGTCCAAGTAAGAAATGACTCAATAATAGTTAAATTTTTAAATCACATTAGAGAAAAAGTCAACTCTAAATTGGTTTGGCACTGTCGAGTATGGTACTGTTGTTTTAGAGTGTTGGGCTAGGGCACTAAAGTTTATATGTGTGAGGTCTCCTTAAAAGCTTTCAGAACTTGTATGGAAGCTTTAGAGCTTGAGTTTATGTTGCCTCCTTGGAGGACTTGCTTTAAGAGGTTGTATCCCTTAAGATTTTTACCGCATGGTGGTCAAAGCCTGGATGGTACATGCTACATGAGCAATGAGACCTGTTAGCTTGTTTTTAGAGTAATATAACTCAGTTTTCATTTTTATAAAAAATTGTGAGATTTATTGCAATTTTGGTAATAATTAACAGTAAAGAAAATGTAACATTTGCATATAAAACAAAATCATTAAATAATTTGGGGCATCCTACTAGTACTGGCCATTATTAGATACTGGTTATCGAACTGAATGGTCCCTAGGTTAACCTTCGAATTTTGGAATAACGTCCTTTTGTAGATTGTGGCTGTCCTATGAATCTGTACATTATTTTCATTAATAGTAACCCTAAAACCGTGTTGTAGGGGTAGTTTCGATTTTTTTTGTACTTATTAAATTTTGACAAAATTCGAAAGAGTGGTGATTTTCGCGTCTCCCTCCGGTGACGCGGCTTCTGAGCGACAAGATGCATGCGTGGTCAGCATTCTCTGATATGACTGATGACTTCTAGCAGCAATCGTGGCTTCGTAGCGGAATGACAAGGAATCTTCAAAACATGTGTACAAGTTTTCAACTATTTCGATTACGGAAAATCCTTATTGTTAATACATTCTACCTACAAAATAAAGAAGTTTGCAAGTTGACATTTCGTTTTTATCTTTAAACTTTCTGAGGACGAATTACCGCAAAATTAGGGTCGAGGAATTTAAAAAAATTAAATGATATGTACGGTATAAAAAACTTTAAAATCCATTAGAACATTATTCTATACCAACTAAAAAAATAATAGAAATATATCATTCTTCAGAAATGTATTTTGACATGTTTATACAGGGTGATTCAGAACTTATTAAAAAAAAAAATTTGGATGTATGGTGGACTTATAAATACAATTTTGTAAAGAAAAAATCAAAAAGGGCAGTTCGAAAGTGATTTAAAGATACACTTCTGCAGGGCACTGAAAATTGATCCACTGTAAAACTTGACCTTGCACAATGCGACCCGCCTGGCGGCAAAGTGTGATAAAAACGGCCAAAAGAATTTCACAAGGAAAGAAATAAATAGAATTTTATAGCACCTATTTTATATCAGTAAATTCAACTGCTTTTATCGCTATTGTTATTATTAATTAATAAAATTAATTTGTGTTTTTAAATAATAAATTAATTTGACATACTTGATGTTACAACAACTGTCAAAAGTTTGTCCACACATTTGGGTCCGTCTTACTCAGTTTCTACGAACTAACACAAATGTTGTCTTGCTTCACCATAAATTAAAACGATATCCATCAACTTCGAGTTGCTATACACGCATGCCATTTTTGATACTAACTACTAAAAAACTATTGTAAACACTATGACGATTGTAAAATCAGATTT